CCAGCGAATAAAATCTAAAGTGAGACGTGCCTGTTAACGTCTGGTGTTAAAATAAAGAGTTTAAGTTGGCTGAAGGTCGGACGTCAAGCCATTACGTCTTACGCGTACTCAGTTATCAGCTCGATGTTTGGAAAATTGACGGATACCGATTTCTACCCATCCCTAAGTTATCAATGAAATTCTCTCAGATACAGTTTTTTCTTAACTAACGCGTGAGTTGAAAATGGTTTGTTCTCATGTTGGTGTTTGGGTTGGCCAAATTGGTCTAGTAAGGGACGTTAGGTTCTTTCTGTTTATCTACTTTTAACGAATTCGCGAAAAAATAAATAAACAAATAAATATCAGCTGTGTGATTAGTCATCCTCGGAGATGTAGGGGCAGTCAGTCGGGTCGGAAGAAAGGCACAACGAAAGTTTTCAAAAGTTAGAAGTTCAGATCTCTCAGTCATAACACATACGTTAACAAGACCAAAAAGGTCATTCATCCTTATGTATTCTAAACGACACTGCTCATATCAAAGATCAGCTATGTAAAGTAGCCCTAAAACTCCAGTCTTCAGATTACTTCTGATTTAACGCTTATGGGTCGCAACTCTTTTTTTTTTGGGCACAGGTTACATTACTAACTTTGTTTATTCACTGTTTTTCCAACCAATCGCGTGAGATCTTCCGAGAGCTGCAAGGTCGCACAGCTATATTGTAAGCTTGGGTGACCTGTGGCTTATCAATCGTTTTGTACACAGGGTGTATTGAGGTTGAGGAAGCGAGCGACCTTGATGGTTGTAACCGTGAGCGCCACTCTTGTAATATCTTTGGGAGCAGATGTGATACTTCATCTGTTAGAAGAACACGCTGCTGACTCCGTGAAACTGAGTCCTTTAGCTATTCCTATCGCTCACACGATGCTGATGTTCAACTCCGCTATCAATCCATTTGCGTACGCTCTGCTGAACCAAAGATTTAGGAAAAAGATGAGGCAAATGATACGATCACGTTCCTTTGCAACAAGAGTTGGTGTTATGTCCGTGCGACAGGGTGAACCACAGGACAAAGACGCTGGTCACACCACTGGAAGCATTCAAATGACACAGCAAGACCAACTGAGTGAAAGGGCGGCGACAATTTCCCGGGAAAATGTATTATGACAGTATCGGGCGAGTCCTGGTGCTTACCATTTCATTAGAAAATAAGTTTTATTCAGTCACATTTTAAAAACTCATTTTCGTGTGAAAGGTTTGTGCAACAGTCCGCCTCGCTTTGATAAAAAGGCTTGGCAATTCGAAAATAGGTTATTGACACCTCTGTTGTGGTCACCCTGCCTTATTAATGTAAAAAGAAAATGTTTTCTTACGAAAAAATTCAACTCTCATAGGATTGCCTCAGAACACCAACATAATAGGTAGCTTATAGCAACGAAGACAGCGATGGCATTCAGTTGGAGCGTCAAAGAAGCATTAACAGGTTTTGTAAGTAAAACGGTACATATCTTTGCCGTCCATGCACAACTACGACGTGAAATACCCGTATACGACGATTTATGGAGGACGTAAACAAGTGCCGACGAATGTTCTTTTTTTCGTAATTTTAAACTTGGGTGCCGCCCCACATAATTCTCCTAAATTTGAGATTTGATTTCCAGTCTAAATACGAAAAAGTTGATAAAACGCTGCCTTCGTTTTCAGTCGTCGATGCAAAAGCTTCCTATTGTTTTGGGTGCACTAATATGGCCGACGAGACGTCACGCGGACGTCACGCCGGTAAGCGCTTTGTATGAAATACAATATAAACTTCATAGGAAACTGTGATGCTGCATAGGTAAGGAGGGGAGAGGGGTGGGAAAGGAAAAAGCAAGAGAAATAAGATTAGAGCGTCAGCCCTTGTTTGTAAGCAGTATCTAAGGACAATGGGGTAACTTTTTCTTTGTCTTTCATAATTATGCATTCATACACATGAGAATAGGGTAAATTAAAAACAAAAACAAAAACAAACCAAAAGAGCAAACAAACAATCATGGATTAACATCAACTGGTGTGAAATGAAAAACAAAAACAAAGCAAGCTTTTAGAAACTGTCACTATCAAGATGGGATTGCATCATACTGTAAATTCGTTTTTTCCTTTGTATACTCTCTCATATAATTTAATACTATAATAATATAACATAACATTCTTATATACAATTGTCTGATCGTACCACATATGAAAATTAACTTTTGACGTACATCAAGTGACAACACGACACAACAGAGCAGGTTTGTAGCCGTGAGCCAGACAGCTATATTTTGGCTGATCAGGTCTCTTTAGGGACTGTGCAATAATTATTAGGAGGGGGGGGGGGGGGGGGAAAAACAAAAGTTTTTTTGCAAAAAATTTAACAAGACCCCTTTTAGGTTAAAAAAAACCACACTTGGAAACTAGATCGGAAAAGGACCCGTTTTAACTCCCGGCAAATCACGGCCTCGGTTGCCTCTCTTCCGTTTAAAAAAAAAACAGACAAACTAA